TAACAAGCTTCTCCAAAGTACCACGAGATCAATGAGAACAAATCATGATAAACTCCCAAAGACCCTTCATTGTAGATGAACATTATCTTCCTAGATCACGTTAAGCAAACCAGATGCAAAAAACATGCATTGGAGCTACAGTGGAGAACTTACAAGATGTGTTGATTTCTTTTCGAACATTCGTGCAAAGTTAATCAAGAGCTACCTACACAAGCCATCCCTAATTTGTAAATGATAAATTAAAGGGGAGACAGCTAGTCAACAGTACCCACTGCCAACTCTTGGGCTATTTTAATATATTAATGGGATTAGACCGTCACCATTAAACGCACTAACAACCCTTTAATTGCGGAGTGCGATTTTTTTTATTAGCAGTAACGAGACGCGAACGTAGGACCTATAAATCGATGGTCCATCATACCAACCACTGGCTCTCACTCAGCCCAGATAAGGAAAGGAATAGCAAGGATTTGTGTTTCATTCTCCATGGCTCTTGGAAACGCTGCTGTGGACTTAATACTAGCCTTACCTTCTAGCATCCTGGTCACGGAGTGAGCAATCCCATCTCGCACGTCTGGTAACTGGAATTTATCTTTACTTTACTGTGTTCTTTGCAAAGTTAAAATGTCCCATTATATAAGAAACCTGTTACAACCACAAAGACAGCCAAAAAAGACTTTCTTTAGGATCTAAATATCAAGTTATAAAGCTCTTATAGTCTCATGGTCGGAGCAGTCGTTCCAATATACCTAAGCATATTCAAATGTCGCAACAAACTTTCATCTTTCATGTGCAATACATTTTTATCTTTTTGTTCATTTTTCTCCAGTTTGTTTGTTTCTCTCTCTTTCTTTTTTGTTTTTTCGAAGGGCAAGACAATTGTGAACTATCTTTTCCACAGTTGGTTATGATAAGTCCAATTTGTTACAATTCATTTCCTGGGTGTGAGTTTTCTGAACAGTAGTATTCTTGAATACAAGATGTGTTGCTGTTCAAGCAGTTTTACATCTTCATACATCTTTCCTAGATAATAATATTCACTGCATTATAGATAGTTATATTTGAAATGAGTGTTCCCTATGTTTTGTTTCTCGTTATTATGTTTGACATTGTAATTCTCAAGTAGATACAAAGAGAAGTGGCCGGTTTGATTCTTCCACTTGTTCATTCAACGTCTAAGTATTTTATATTAGAGCTGTTGTCCTTTTGTGTATTTCCTATGGTTTACAATGTAATGTTTGTAATTAAGCACAAAACTACACAATGGGTTATCTGTGCTCTGCCCACCACGGGTATCAAAACCCGGATTCTAGCGTTGTAAGTCCGCAGACATACCACTGTGCTACTGGGGGGCATTACTGAAGTGAAAGAGAAGTGTTCATCCTTCTGATCTCTCTACTTTTGGGAAATACACGTTTTACATCCTCTATCTTGATGTTGTAATCTTACTATATATATTTTATCTCCTTTTGTACTCTGTTCATGTCATTTTGTACTTCTTCTATTTTGTTGAAATGACGCTTCTGTGCACCAGTGTTGTCTTTTTTACCTTATTAATATTGTTGTGTTCTTCTTTTTCATTTCTTCAATTTTTTTATAATCCTTCGATATATTTTAAATGGCTTCCTCGGTCATACTTTCAATCAATATAATTTTTCTTCGTAATAGTTCTGTATATCTTATGATTCGTTGAGATTTCGTCAATAACTCTTTCTTCTTGATCTTCTTTTAATTTACTGTTCCACCTTTCTTGTTCTATTTTTAATTTTCTGTCTCTTACTTCTTAACTGTCTTTCCACTGTTTCACCATTTCTAGCAAATTTTCGATTTTGTTTCCTGCTCATGTCGCCATCGTTTTTACGAAGTCTTTACTTAATAAAACTGGTTTATTCTTTCCGAATATAA